AAGCCGAGATCATGCCACTGCACCCCAGCCTAGGAGACAGAAAGAGACTCTGTCTGAAAAAGAAAAAAAAATTCCATAGAAGTCTCTGCACAAATAATGAATTTCAGTGTAAACTATGAACTTTAGTTAATTATGCACCTATATTGATTCATTAATTATTACAAATATATCATGGTGATGCAAGATGCAAATAACAGGGGAAGCTGAGTGGGGAACACGGAATGTATGGAAAATCTCTGAAATAGCCGCTCAGTTTTCCTGTCAATCTAAAACTGCTCTAAAAAGTAAATTCTCTATATATACATTGAGTGCTAGCATCAACAAAATTCAAATTTAAGCTATCATAAGCTACTACTAGACTGCATTTAAATAGTTAAAATGACAAAGATTGACCATATCAAGGGTTGCCAAGGAAGTAGAGCAAATGGAAATCTCATATGTTGCCAACAGGAATGTAAATTGGAGCAAACACTCTAGATAACAATTTGGCAGTTTCTTTTGAAGTTAAACATACATACACCATATAATCCAGATATTCTACTCGTAAGTATTTACTTAACAAAAATGAAACTATATACCCACACTAAGATTTGTACACAAGGGTTGTCAACAAATCCACTGAAATGGATCTCCCTTAAAAAACAGAAATGCTTTATTCCTACAAGCAGTTTGCACCCAGCCTTCAATACAAAACAAAGATGCTCTCCCTGAGAACAGAGAGGCAGGTTATCCTTTATAGGAAAAGCTTCCTCCCAGATTCCCACTCTGGTGTGCTATACAAATGACCACTATGCAAATGAGGGATACAAGCGTTTTTGGTTCTGATTGGTCAATGCAGGTCACAAGTTTATTTGTTAGATCCAGGTGTCAAGACGAGACTTCCCAGCAGCCGTCAAATCGGGGGCATAAACAGGAACAGCCAGCCACAAAGTCCCCAAGACATGTGAGCACCTGTGGTTTCTCAGAGAATGCAAACTACATTTGTGACCTGGCTCCATTTTTAATTTAGACCCAGTTAGCCACTCAGGATCCACTTAGAAGGATTGGCTCTTTCAGGTTCACAGTGTTCAAGGCAGCTTTATTTACAGTAGCCAGAACCTGGGTTCTCTCCCAGTTACCTTTAGTGTCTTTCAGTCATACTCAGCTTCACTGAACTGTACCCCTGAACTGGCCCTTTAAGAAAAGGAAGGAGCCTTCTGCCCATGTTGGAGGAAGCAGTACAGCAGGGCAGGGGTGTCCACGGAGCTGTGGGTGCTTTTCAGGAGGAAGATTGGAGGGCACACTAATGAGGAGAATGTAAGGCTTTGAAACATGTAGGAAAATGGGAATTGTACCTCCTTGCAGTTTGTTGAATAGTGGCTTTGTATTACTTTCTTGAGGCTGTGATAACAGTGTACCACAGACTTCAACAACAGCTGAATGTTGTCGCACAGTTCTGGGGGCTGGAAGTCAGAGACCAAGGTGTCAGCAGGGTTGGTTCCTTCTGAGGCTGTGATGGATGAGTCTGTTCCCAGCCTCTTACCCTGGCTTGTAAATGGTCTTCATGTTTGCACAGCATTCTTCCTGTATGAGGGTCTGCCTCTTTATCTAAATCTCCCTTTATATAGGGACACCAGTCATTCCAGATTGGGGCTCACCCTAATGCCCACATCTGAATTTGATTACCCCTGTACAGACCCTACCTCCAGATAAGCTCATGTTTTCAGGTGCTGGAAATCAGGATGCCAACATGGGAATTTTGGGGGATACAATCCAATGAAGAACAGGCTTGAGCCATTGTCGTTCTATGATTACGTGGACGATGGTCCCATATAGTGGCTACTGGTCCCAGATCATGTACAATTGGTCCCAACATCGTGAAGAACCTGAGGATGTCTGGACTACGTGGGCTTTGAAAAACCAGCCCAGAAGCTGTGTGAGAGCGTGCCCTGCCCCTTTAAAATACTGAAATTTGAGTTGGATCCCCCAGCTAAAATGCTGGCATCCTCCTATGGTTATTTCATACTTACTTTAATAGTTACAGAGAAAAGAAGTGAACCTTAGCTTTTCTGTTGAGGGTTTATTCTGCTTGATGCTCTCCAAATAAGTTTGTTATTTCAGCAGCACTAATGAAGTAGGTGTTATCCTCTTCCTGCAGCTTAGGAAGATAAAGCCCAGTGGGACTAAGTAGGCTTCATCTATACTGCCTAAGCTCTTATTAAAGTGCAGGTGGTAAGAGGGATTTGAACACGGGCCTTTCAGACTCCAGCATCTATGATCTTTGCTAAAACATGTTAAGATGAAACAAATGCAGAAATTATTCTTCTCAATGTATGTAAAAGAGCTGTGCTTATCTGATACAATCCAGGATGTAGCCTCTGAATAGAAAGTTAGAAAAGATGGCATTAGAGAAGACATGCAGACAACTCTAAAAACGATGAAACTTGAGGGAGAAGATGTGTTATCACCTGAACCTGTATCTTACAATGGTAAGAATTTATGGCATCCACCTGTCAAGATAGGGGAATAGGAGCCACGCTCCGAGTGTCAGGAAGAAAATAGCACACAGTGGCAACTGGGGGCGACATGAAACCCCACCCCCGCTTCAAGAATCTCAGGCAGCTCCTCCATTCTTGGATATGAACAATTGAAGTTCTCCATCATTTATTTTATTTTTTAACTGATTAATAATAATTATACATATTCATGGGCCCCTAATGACATTCTTTATCTATAAGGTGTAGTGATCGGATCAGGGTAACTGACATGGCCGACATCTCAGACACTGACCACTTCTTTAGAAGTGCAGCCTGGAGCTCCCCTCTGTGGATCCGATGGCTGCAGGGCCGGGTGGCTGCAAGTCAGCTTGGCAAAGAGAATAAGATGAGCCAAGCGTACTGCAACATGGCAATGGAATTTTCGATCAAATGCTGTAACTTGGTGTCATTACAACAGAAATGATGTCGAGTGGAGTACTGGATCTCTTGTCACCACAGCATCACACTGATTTAATCACCCTAACCTCGCAGTAGCTCCCCTTCCTGGTGCTGTTCAGAAACAACAATGGTCCAGGCCTCATCTCATAATGAAGTGGGCTTGGCCAGCTGGGCACAGTGTTAAATGAGCCGTGGGTCAGGAGGTCACTCCTGCAGCCAGGCCGGCCTTTAGCCACACTCTGGTCCAGGCGACAGATGGGGCCCTAGCCTCATCTCCCTTTCATCTCACATGTTGGGAGTTCTTGGCCACAGGAGGACCAATTCAAAATAATGTTCAGGGACTCGGTGAATAAACTCCTCCATTGGAGATGTTATTGCATTGCTAGATGTATCTTGAACTACAAATCTTGCTTGGGTAGATATGTATAAATTGAAGATCGTTTGACTGGTTTTCCTTCAAGTCCCTGCTCTCAAGTGCTTCCTGTATGCTTCCAGCAGAACATAAGAATCCTAATTCAGTCTTTCACCCATTTCTACTGGTGTTGAACTAAAGACGGAGAATCTACTTGCTTAGCCAATGAGCCTTACAGAGTGTCTAGTTGCTCTGATTTAATATATCAGTGTATCGGGAACCTTTAATTCTGAGTGCAGGCTGATGGAATATGGATTCCATGTTGGTGGTGGGGTTAGACTACCTCAGAAAAGAAATGCGCACATGTCTTCTTGTAAATATTTTGTCTTTGTAACCATCTCCTTTGTATTCATGAGTTCGAGGAGCCCAGGAAACGTGAAGACCAGGTGTCACAGGAGTTTTCCTGGTCTACTTTAAGGACGTCATTAAGTATCACACCTGCCAGTTTAAATACTATTTGAGCTCTGTGCATTGTTGAGAAATGAGGTAGAAAAATTATACAAGAGACATTGAAACATCAAGAGGAATATTTAAATGTTATACTGAACTCATGAACTCTTCAAACCAAATATTTTGCTATTAAAATTATTCAAGAATCCTATAAGTCTGGAAATAAACACTTCATAAACAACAGTTTCAAATGTCACATCAGGAAAAATTAGACAAAACCAGTTAGGGAGGGAAGTTACATTTAAAAAGATTGAGTTCTACTATTCCCTAAGTTTTGTAAAAATAACTTTAACTTACCTCCTAAAGGTTGGTGAGTTTCTATTACAAAATAGAAGCGTTGTCTTCATTTCATGAAAGAACTATCTGAAAATCACAAAAGCACCATATCCTGGATTTCAAGGAAGATGAAATTTCTTCTTATCTTCTTTTTTACTAAATACTAAAAATAAAATAATCATATTATATTCAATCTGACACTGTCAAGGAAAATAGTTAAAATTTTTAAATGAGCAATATATTTAATTTTAAAATATAAATAATTAGGCTAAGGTGGCAATTTTTTAACGAGTTGAAAGTCCAAACTATGATTTCCGAAGAACAGAGCTAAAACGCAAAGAACATGGCTTTGGAATAATCACCAGGGCAAGTGCTTTGTTCTGTATAATTCTTCTTTTGTGAATTTTTAAATGCTCAACAAGTATTAATGAATTATGTCTAAGAAGTAGACATTGCTTTAAAATCTAATTTCCAGAGTCCCAAACTAAGGCTAAGACTGAGATTAAGTCTCTGCCCAAAGTCTTAAGTGAGCCAGCGGAAGACAGTTTATTCATGAATTGCTGGTTATCTGCTGCTTAACTACTTAACACACCCCGGTTTGATCGCATCCTAAAAATGTGTGTTTCAAAGAAAGGGCAGTTTATTTAAAATCCTTAAAGACTTGTCACTTTAAAAAGGAAAAAAAAAAATGTGGTGTTATCCGGTCCATCTGCTGGTGTCCTTAGGTGTTTTTTAGAGTGGTCTCATAGTGCTATTTAACTATGCTGAATATTTGACACTCAGTCTCTGTAGGAAATTGTGATTTTTATCAGCAAAGAGGCAATTAAATGCTGTCATTTGGCGAGACCATCCATCAGGGTTCTTATCACCCAAGAAGCATCCAGCAGCAGTTGCTGTCCTTTCCAGCTGGGAGACAGATAACAGAAACTGTCCTGTGTGAGGCACAATAGTCTAACGTGATTAGAAATCAGCCAAACTCTGGCTTCTCTTGAGCTATACTCCCCCACAGGCTGAATTATAGCTCTCCTACCAGTCCCACGGCACTGAATGATGTCATGGGATCTGCAGCTCAGCGAGATGAAAGGGATAAAGCAGGACCCGCTGGCACTAGGAAAAGCTTCCAACACACAGTCCACAACACAGCTTGGGAACCAAAAAAGCTACAGATCCAGCCACTCAGCCCAAGCATGGCAGAACTACCAGCATTGCCTCATTGCAAAAAAGAGGAAGAAAACAACGTGATCCATGTTTAACAAAAGAATGTGTGGACTAGGAGGCAGGAGGGTGACTACCTGCTGAAAGTGAACTTTCTTGATATCCATGCATATATATAAACCCAGTCCTGCCTTTGATGTTCAGCAACTGATCACTGATCAGATTACAGGCATTTCATCTCCCTGCTCGTCTGCCTTTGATCTGCAGGGTTAATTTTATTTTCCTGGATTTGAAGTTTCGTCTGGGCTTGTGCTGACATACATTTTTGGGAAGGTAGAAGCATTTGGCACAGAAGTGCTGCCAGGAGGAACTAAGTTGCCGAACGGGTGAGTACTGCAAAGAGCTCAGCATGTTGCAGATACTCGTTTTAAGTTTTGTAGTAGCTCTCGCTGGCATTTTTTCCATGTGTTCTGAGAAAAGAATGGTTTTAATTAATTTTGTAGAAAGCATTTATACAGCTGAATACTACATTATGCTGAATGTGTATATCAGAGTAACTATGGAACTTGGTGCAAGTTTTAGTGGTTCATACAAGAGAGTTTGCAATCTGTCATGCAAATTTTACTTGGAAATGAGTTTTACAAACAGGACAAAACAGAACAGTGCTAACTTTAGCAGGCTACGGATACTTCAGCCCCTGAGAGCTGGGAGCTACAATTGCTAAGTATTTACAGGTTACCTGATTTAGTAAATGGTCCCTGGAACTTTGCTTGTTGAGAATGCTTTCTTTATTTTCTTATATAAAAGAGTAAAATGTATCTCTGGCAATGCTGTTTCTTTAGTTTATTTATTCTCTCACTTCCAAGATGTAAATCTATCAAATACATTTCCTTATGCAGTTTGTACACTCAAGGGAATCACTGAAAAACCATTAAAGTATGATTAAAGGCTTTTATGTGTAAAACTGAAGAATTTAAAAACAGTGAGGATAAAGTTGCACTAAGTTTGGCTAAAAATACTCTAGTGATTTTCTATAACCTTTGGAAACAGCATAAGCCTTATTTACAGAAACATTCACAAGGTTAATATTTCTAAATTAACATTTACTTTAAATTTATAGTGACAGCTGTTGTAAGTTACCATTTGCCAACTGTTTATGAAAACTATCTGAGTAATCAACAGTTATTATGTTACATAAAGTGTTTTAGTCACATTTTCACTTTAGCTAATGCCCCACATGACAAAACCAAATTATACTGCTGTACTGAATTTGAAAGTTAATTATTTCTTTGTCAGTTCATGATACACACACACACACACACACACACACACAGAGTAATATCTTTACAGTGAAATATAAGAACTAAATAGTGGAAAAGTAACACTGTTACTTTGTTCACACAGGTTTGTTTTGATGTTCAAGTTCTAAATTTATTTGGGCAAAATATTTAATTATTATCACAAGTCTATTTTATGCTAGCTGAACCACGAAGAAACCATAAGGGATAAGACCAGTTATCCTTTAGTCTGAAATTCTGATGAAACACGAAAGCTCTAATGAGTCTCATTTCATATGTAATTAATTTTTCAGAGCCAATTAATTAAATTACTTTCTACACTTTCCTCTTGATATTAGGAGGGTAATTAGCATTGTTTACTTAATTTTAAAACTTTGCTAGTTGTTAAGTGGAGGTTATTTAAAGCCATGTTAAACTGACTATATTTTCAAAGTGTGTCAGTAAGAATTTAATCTTAAAGACTTAACTGTTGCTTTTCGTTGTGGCAGGAGAGGTATTTACTTTTTTTTTTTTCTAATGACACAATGAATCATGTTCACAATATCCTGAAATATTGGTTTAGTTTGATTCTTTAAAATTTGTTTGCTTAAATCTTCCTTTTAATCACAAAAATGGTGTTAATGTTCACATTCAGATAAAGAAAATGAACGTTTTAAAACAATGGCTGGAGACGACGTCTAAAGAAATAGTGTGTTTGAAACTTGCTCATTTAGTTCAGATTTGGGATTTTAAAATTTTTTTAATGACTGTTTATTCTGCTACTAGGATCATTTTAACAAATGCAGACTCTCCTCAGCGCAAAACAAAGGGGAGAATTAGTAATTATCTGATTAATTTAGGCTTTGTAGAAAACTAGCTTGGGCGAGTCAAGTCCTTGAAAATCCACTTCAGTGTTTGAATTAAGTCAGTTGTTTACTTCTTGTGTCATTGTTGAGAAATGAAACAGAGTGTTTTCGATTTTCAAAGAAAGATGATTATTGCTGAAGGTCCAGGTACAGTCTCAAAAGGCATTTCCTAATTAATTGCCACAAAAGGACTTTGGCAGATATAGTCCATAATACTTCTACTGAACGAAACCCTTATGTGACATTTTTCAAAGCACTTTCCTGTCTGTTGCTTCAATGGCAGCTTTGTTTCTACACAAAGTCCAAGTCTTCAAAAGACTTTTATGTCAAGTCATGATACTGTCATCAATTAGCTATATGACTTCGAGAGTTTTCTCACGTGCAAAGCGAGGGAGCTGATCACATCATCTTCATGAAATAAGCAGGAGTGGGCTCTTTATGGCCATTTTACAGATGAGGAAACTGAGGCTATGGAAAACTAATGTCCCTTGCTTAACAAGGTCACATGACTGATTTCCCGGCTCTCATCCAGTGTTTTTTCCAGTCTAGCACACGGGGTCTGCTTTCTAACAACTGCTGAAACAAGTGCACCCTGTAGCTCATCAAAGCACAATGCTAGTTTGAAATATAAAGACAGCCACTTTCTATTGTACATTTTTTTGTTTCCATGATAGATACGTCAGCTGGATTAGTCTGATTATTTCCTAACTGTTCCTTCTACTTCTATACTTCTAAACTGTCTAAACACAACAACTGCTATGCATAACTTACCATCACATGTAAAATAATTTAACGTTATCAGTGCAACGTGGAATTATACATGTGTTTGTGTGTTTGTCTCTGTGTGTATGTACATATATGAGTTTGGCATTATATCAACACATCTTTGTGTGTTTTGAAGGAATTGATATTTTCTTAGAAGAGGCCAATGGCATCGACAAAAAGTTTAATAATTAAAGGTTAATTTTCCTCCAGGGATAGTCCCAGTGGGATTTTGTGAAATTTCGGTTCATAAACTCAATGTGCATTTCAAACATGGTATGTGTTTCATATCATGTTTAATTATGTTAGGAATCTTGAGCATGTTTTCATTAGCTCTTTCTGGTTTTTTCCTCCTTGAAAAAATATATCTTGTGTGAAAATTTTTAATTTAGTTATTAATAAAATTTTATACAAATACAGGACTCTCATGGCCAAACAGCTGCCCTCATAGTAGGACTTACCACCCTCCTTAGGGTTCCTATATATACAAGATTATTACTAACACGACCTAATATCTATTAATTCACTCATTATCAATTACTTCAATAATATATATTAAGCACTTGTGTGCCAGGCACCCCAACAATATTTTAAAAACACTATGTCATTTAAATTCACAAGTAACTTTGTCACCCCATTCTACAGATGAGGAAAGTGAGCCTTAGGGAGGATAAATAATAACGTGGCTGGGCGCGGTGGCTCAAGCCTGTAATCCCAGCACTTTGGGAGGCCGAGGCGGGTGGATCACGAGGTCAAGAGATCAAGACCATCCTGGTCAACATGATGAAACCCCTTCTATACTAAAAATACAAAAAATTAGCTAGGCATGGTGGCGCGTGCCTGTAATCCCAGCTACTCAGGAGGCTGAGGCAAGAGAATTGCTGGAACCCAGGAGGCGGAGGTTGCAGTGAGCCGAGATCGTGCCATTGCACTACAGCCTGGATAACAACAGCAAATCTCCGTCTCAAAAAAAATAATAATAATAACAATAACATGTGCAACATTATGGGAATAATTCAATGGCAGCATTGTGGTCTAAATTTTTTTCATTCTGGGGCTAGGCAGTTGATTCTTTCTCCTATAAGAATTACACAAAGCTTGCCTGTAATCTCAGCACTTTGGGAGGCCGAGGCAGGCAGATCACAAGGTCAGGAGATCAAGACCATCCTGGCCAACATGGTGAAACCCCGTCTCTACTAAAAATACGACAATTAGCCAGTTGTAGTGGTGTGTGCCTGTAATCCCAGATACTTGGGAGGCTGAGGGAGGAGAACCGGTTGAACCAGGGAGTCGGAGTTTGCAGTGAGCCGAGATCAAGCCACTGCACTCCAGCCTGGCAACAGAGTGAGACTCCGTCTCAAAAAAAGAAAAAGAAAGAATTACAGAGCTGAACTTGACTGTCAGCAAACATTATAGCCAAATTTTGGCCAAAAATATGGGCAACAGGTTTTTTTTTCCTTTTATATATTTTGTAAGAACCGTTAGACATTTTTCATAGTATTTTCCATCAGTCGGCCATAAAGGAACTCCCTAAGCCATGAAGGCAGAATCTGTTTTCCCACTGCTTCAAGAGCGAGCTGAACTCAACCATCTGGCATTGGTTTAAACAGATTCTCTTTCTGTGATGGCAAGGCCAGCCCAAGCCACCCTGGAAGAATGAGTGATTTGGTACCCTTTAAAGGGTGGTTCTTTACAATGTTCCAACTGGGTAAGTTCTATGATAGGAAGGCAGAGGGAGGCTCCCTGGTGGCTATGCTTTAATTTCTCCTCTGCTGTCACTAGTTATTCAGCTTTGGCTCCAAAGTTGTTACCTCAAACCCACCCACTTGCCACAATCAAGGCATACTTCTTTAGATTAAGTAAGTAGTTTAACACCCTCCTTTGTGACTTACATTTTTTCTTTGATGAGGAGGGAAAGGAGAAGTCAGGTGGGGGTTTCAAGTGATTTCATAAAACTTATTCCTTCCAACATAACCTGCTCTGTTTGAGAGGAGTTCTGATAAGGACCGTTTTCTCCGTCCTGTTAAATGTCCCCCATGCTTTGGTGGCCCTATAGCTTAACACCATGGGCTCAGCCAGACTGGTCTTAACCAGCCCTAGGTGGGGGAGTCCACCATGTTTATCAGGAAGAAGAGAAGGAGAGTCAATGGCCTATCTCTTCCCTCATCAAACTCATGAAAAGGGTCTGGACAATGAGGTACTCAGGGCCAAGATATCACAAAGGCATAATAAGGGCAAATACTGCAGCATGTAGCTTTGCTCTGTGAGTATCTTGAGCTCCACAGTATATAAATTATATAAAAAGAGCCTCTGTGGCTTTTTTGTATATGGTTTATGCACCCATGGTTTGGTGAAGGTTATGTTAATGTACAGGAAGCCCAGATTCTGAATCCAGCTTTGACATTCCAGAAGTCATTGGGTACTGGCCTCACAGTGCTCCCCCGGCCCCATGCTGATAGTCTATAATTTGCAGTAGTGGGT